GAAGCCTGAAGAAAAAATCCAGGCAGAGAAAAATGATTCGGTAAAGGGAAGAGATGTGAACACACAGTGCTTGGAATAGAGTATAGGCTTTAGACTCAAATAGAGTTGAATTTGAACCCCTGTTTCTACTCCTCAGCTGCTTAGTGACCTTGGGAAGGCTACATCTATTTCCCTGATTTCTTGCCTAGAAAACAACTTTGACAATTATTCCCTATCAGAGGTTGGTTGTGAGGATTAACTGAGATTGCACACAACATTTACCACATTGCCTAACTCATTATTGCTATGTTATAATTAATATGTTTCTCTTTGCCAAAGTTGCCATTGGCTCAAAAAAGGTAACTTGTCTATTAATTTCTAGGGTTCAAGTAGAATAAACCTCACTAAATACATGCATCAATTTTAAGATTCACTTGATCTCAGAAACATTAAAATATGGAAAATGCACATCTTAGAATCAAGGGAGTTAAATTCTTCTGATGAGGACCAGTCCATGGAGAATTTTTTAGTTTCTTTCTTTTTTTCATGAGGAAAAGGAAACAAAAAGAGAGAGGCAAGCACCCTCAACAGAGTCTCTCACCGCAATCTCCCCAGCCTTTCCTAGTCAGCCAGAATCACAGACATGTGTTCCCATGCCTTCAAGTACACGTCAACCTGGGATGCAAACTCAAGTCTTCCATATGGCCTCCAGCATTGCAGTGCATTAGGCTATTGCTGTGCTACCACGTCTGGGCCCAGTATGCAAAGAATCTTTAATGCTCTCCTGAGTGTTTAGATTAGATTCTATTGTTAAAATCCTCCCCCTCTTGGTAGTTTCTAAATACTTTAGTTCTTAAATCACTCATTAAGGTTAATATGTGGTCATCTATCTCCCATTAGTATATGGTTTCTGTTTAACATGGTGAGAGTTCTATACACTATGAAATTAAATAGAATCTGACCAACCTGGGGGTGATATAGGGTAAGAGTGATCATCAAGGCCAGAAGCTGGAACTCAAAGGAATGGGGCATAAGCTCCATGAATATAAAAAATCAGTTTCTACCTGTATCTTGTAACTGATACCTCACCTCCCCCACTGTGCAGTTGGTAATTGTGAAAAATAAGTAAATACTGCACCAGGAGCATCAGCAACACCTAGGAAGTTATTCAAAAGGCACATTCTCAGGCTCTGTGCTGGACCTACTAAATCAGAAAGTCTGAGAGCAGGGCCAGAAATCAGTTTTATCACCTGATTCAGATGCCTTTCTGCCCATTTCCTAGGTGGCGCTAATGTTCCTGGTCTGAGAACACTTGAAGCATTAAACAAAGTTGAACTTTCAGTCTCAGCCAAGAGCAGTCATTCTGAGGGGCAATTGGCTCATCTCAGCCTCTCTCTAATGGGGTGGGTAAGGCCACCTCAATGCCCAGAGGCTGTGAACCTCTCCAGTCTGCTGCCTCCTCAGGTTTTGGCTCCTCTTTCTGTTTGGCATTCTCTCCATCCACAATGACACTGAACTATTGTCCTGGGGAGAAGCAGCTGTAGTCCCATTGAGCATTATTAGATGGAGGGATGACGAGTGAGTGAGAGTCTTCCAGGCGTCTTGGGGTCTTGTTACTGCGAATCTGCACTTGTTTGTTCAGGCCCCAGTAGCTTCTGCTGCTTCTGACACCTAACAGGACGCTCAGCTGAAGAAAGTTTGAGGAAGCAGCTCCCCAGTGTCTGAGCCCAGGAACAATTGCTGAGGGCAAGAATAGTCTGTGCTTTATCCTTCCATACCTAGAGACTTCTGAAGAAATTGGCCAGATGCCCACCTTGTCTTCAGCGTCCTCTCAGCAAAAGTATCAGAAATGCAGAAAAGGGAGGGGATGTCCTTGGAGCTTTCCTGGTGAGCTTCAGCCTGACCTGAAGCCAATTACATACACAAATTGCCTTTGGCCTAATTCTGAAATTGTTCAGAAGCTAGCTGGGAGAATATTCTGGAGTTAGAGAATATTTGTTGACTGATACAGAGGAGGGATTAAAACATCAAGGCTCTAAGCTATAAATATTGAAACATATACCTCAATATTTGAGTTAAGCATACACAGAATTTTATTGCTAATGTTTGAACAGAATAGGTTCCTCTTTTCCATAATTGCTCATGTATGCTTTCTGCCACTGTTTTGTTATAACAGCCATCACAACAGAATAGGTTCCTCTTTTCCATAATTGCTCTTGTACGCTTTTTGCCACTGTTTTGTTATAACAGCCATCACAGTTGACCTCCATCCTTGACTAATGCACTCACTGCACAGCTAACCCAAACATCCTGCTTAAGCCAAATCAGCTCCTCAAGGATAGGACCCACTCTCCCCCAGTTTTTTTATTCCCTCTTTAATTTAATTTATTTAGTTTGCTATATGGCAAATGCACTCACCAGAGAGAGGAGAGAAGAAAGTGATAAATCACCCCAGGGAGGATGGTCTCGCCACACCATCTCTTCTCCTCCATTCTCCTCTCTGGATTTTGGGCATACACACATGCCCGACATGTTTTTCAAGCTCCCAGGTCTGGGACTTGAACCACACAGTCAGCCAAGTGGGATCCAGCTTCCTTAACCACTATATGCTATCAGTTTGCCCAGTTTCTGTCCTGTGCTCAAGACATAGCAAGTGCTAGGGATTGCGGCGTGGCCATCCCCCCAGGGGGGTGATTTCTCGCTTTCTATCTCTCTGTCTCTCTCTGTCTTTCTGGCAAGCGCACGCACCCTATAGCAAAAACCTCTACAAAAAAAGAAGACATAGCAAGTGCTTAATAAATGTGGGGGTTTATAGCAAAAACCTCTCCAAAAAAGAAGACATAGCAAGTACTTAATAAATGTGGGGGTTTTTTTTTGTTGTTTGTGGGGGTTTTTTTTGTTATTTTTGGTTTTTTTTTTTTTTGAAAGCTTTTTGCTATAGGGTGTGTGCGCTCGCTAGAAAGTCAGAGACAGAGAGACAGAAAGCAAGAAATCACCCCCAGAGGGGATGACCATGCTGGGCCCATCCCTTCTCCTCCATTCTCCTCTCGGGATCTTGGGCACACACACACGCACGGCTGGCATGAGTTTAAGCCACGGGGTCCAGAACTCGAACCGCGGTCAACTACAGGGGGGGTTGAACGACATACCTCTTACTCCAACTGCTGGTCCCTAAGTGTTTATAAAATAAGCTAATGTTAACATCAACCTCTTAATCTCTAGTCATTACTGTTATATCCCTGATCTCCACAGATGATTCTTTAGTTTGGGTTTTTGTTTTTTTACCAAACCTCATACCTCATCCTAACGATGCCTTACTTCATAGTTTTCAAAGACTGAAATGCTGTAGCATGTGTGAGTCTTGTGTATCTGTACTCTTCATTGAAACAGGTAACTATTTCACTCAGGTGTTAAGATTTTAAGGTTTTAACAGATTTTAAGCAGTTTAATAAAAAATTATCAAATCTTTTATTTTTGCTGCTAAGCTTTTCAAAACCATGACCAGGTACACTGACATTATTTTCTTCCTATCCATTCTTCTCTTGAAACTCGTTTCCTCTGTAAGCTGCAAGTCTCTGTGATGCAGGATGGTGAGGGGAAAGCTTAGACTACTTGTGGAAACTGAGGGAAATAAGGAGGTGTATCATGATGGAATTATTTCTATCATGATGGAATGGCCTTCATGGTCTCTTAGAGGAAGGGGGAGAGTGACCTCTATTGGGAGCCTTGCCTTATGACTGACTTTTAAGTAGTCCATAATAGTAAGGAGGTTGTGTCCAGGGAGGAATTGTGGTATGGTCATCTCATTAGTAGCACCAGAACACTAAAATCAAAACCAGGGATGGCATAGTGTGCCTTTCCCTTAAGTCTTGCCGAAGACAGAGGGGTGAGCAGATATCCACCCCCTTATCCATGGCACCTACCCTGGCATTTAGTCACAGATTGCGTGCACTGTGAGCCCTCTTTAGCTTTCAGTCTTTTCCCTCTCCACTCCATTTCTACATGAGGTACCAGTTGGATCTTTCCACCATCAACCTGGGCAGGTTGTGGGGGCTAGAAAGTACTACCTCAGGCCTATCTGCCTACACACACACCATAATCCCACTAAACCAGGACCTCCCCATGTTGTCACATTGCCCTCTGTGAGGCTATCCTCCTAAGGATCAGGGTACAGGGAAAGCAGAGCCTTGGTCTCTCTGTTCTTAGATCTTTAGCTGTATTGGGGAGTTTTATATGCACCATCTTCAAAAAGTACCAGGTCTCTCTCAGAGTTCACCTCTCCACCTAATTTCTCTATTATTCATTTCCTGCCTCCTTTTCATACTCATCTCTTTGCTTCCTTCAGGAAAACCATTTTCACATTTCAAGGTTTTAAATCCATGATCATTCACTGATCTTTGGTCATCTTCTAAGTCAAAGATTTTTGGAATCAAAGTGAAACTATTTCTTTCTCAAGAACCTCATTCTTGAATTGAAACCTGATTTTTTTCAGACCTTATTTTGAAATTCAGAGTCAAAGAAAGAACCCTCGGGGTCCACTCTTGCCATGCCACTAAAGCAACAGATGTCTAACAATGGGTAGAGGGTAATGAAGAGTCAAACATTCACAAAAATTACATTTAAGATTTCAAAGTGTTCTCTATTTTTTTTTTTGAGAGGTTTTTGCTATAGGGTGCGTGCGCTCGCCAGACAGAGAGAGACAGAGAGATAGAAAGCGAGAAATCACCCCCCAGGGGGGATGGCCACACCGCAATCTCTTCTCCTCCTTTCTCCTCTCGGGATCTTGGACATGCCCACACATGCACCCGGCATGAGTTTTAAGCCATCGGGTCCGGGACTTGAACCACGGTCGACTACATGGGAGTCCAGCAACATAGCCATTACACTAACTGCTGGTCCCAAAGTGTTCTCTATTTTACCAAGATCATCTGGATCAAATGGAGCCTGGGTGAGGCTGGGAGACGAGGGTCAGTTGTTCTAGGTCTATGAGGTCACAGCTGAGGTCACAGAGTATATTGAAAAGGGAAAGACTGATATTATGAGTAGGTGACCCCTGTGAGAAGAGGTGAAAGCATAGGGGTTGGGGTGGGGCAAAGCCTGATTTGGGGAGCCCAACTGGGTAAGTTTCTAGGCATAACTGACCTAGTTCCTGACGGAGATTTGGAGGTAGGGAAGGGTGGGAGTGGGGAAAAAAAAAACTGAGAAGGAAATTTCTCAAAGGAGGATTTGTCTAATTTAGGTGACTGCTTTGGCCTCTCAGCCCCATGTATTTTCTCAACTATGGGGTTTCCTTCCACCTGTACAAAGCACATGAAGCCTGTTGCTGACTGACCTCCAGTTTATAGTTCTGTACTTACTTGATCGTGAAGATTCTTTAAGTGGGTTGAGATGGGGTATTGCCAAACTTGAATTTCACTGTGCACCATTTCCTATCCCTGCCTTTGAGCACACTCTCACCTTAAGGAGCCTCTGGACAGCTCCCTACTCTCAATTCAGCCAGTTATTTTTTCACTCATATTCTCTCTCTCTCTCCTTCTCTTTTTCACTCATCTTCTTGATGGAATTTCTGTTGTTACTGAAAAAGAGGAGAGGGAAAAAAGAGGACAGGGAGATTTTACTTAGGGCAAACACTTTCTCCTTCTTGTTATTTTTTTCTACACATATGTACACACAGATATACACCCCAACCCATTCAAAACACAGATGCTTCCTAAACTGAGGAAGAGACATCTGTCCTGGGAACTCCACGGTGGGTAAGTGATTTTCTTCTCACCATGCACTTGCCTTCTCTCTATCTGCATTTACCTCCCCAGGGCCTGGAGCTATCTCCATCTTCAGCTCCTGACTCTGGTTTTTGTCCGAGAACAAATGGCACAGCATGCCTTCCACGATCAAGAACAAAAGGCAAGAATGAACTCTGGACCACAGAGAAGGTAAATAGAGACAATGATGACTCTTAAGAACCGTGAAATTGGATATACTCTATGGGAGATGAACTAGCATCACCTGTCTCCATCTTTCTTTCTTTGGCTGCATTTGCTTTCTTACTGGGGACTTTCACATGTCCTACCCTTCTTAATCTCCTCGATGGAAAGGACAATGGCAGAGCGTTGTAATCCCAACTTATAAAGTGGCCATTAATTGCAGTTCCTCTAGGAGTGGGTTAGGTATAAAATCTAGGAACATTTATCCATCCCAGGATTGACTAAAAGTCCTTTATATCCTCTATAGTTTGAATTAAGGCCATGCTTCCCTGTGACTTCTATGGTATAGAGGAGGGCCAGATTCTACAGCTTATGGATGAACAGGAGACCTAGGCAATGTTATTCGTAAAATCAAAGGCTCACTTTGGGCTTATGGGTCTGAAAAGCTTCAGAAAATCATTTAACCTTGTCTAGATGCTTTGAGATAAGAGTTTGTAGAAATTTGGGAAGAGAGGGAA